AAATGAGGTTTGTTAGGAAAAAAGAGAAATTTAGATGAACATAGAATCAACCATATGAAAACATTTCTAGCCCAAAGTTGGGGAAAGTTAATCTAGACAAGTATGAACTGTCTTTCCTGACTGACGTCCTTTTGGATGTCAATTTGCTTTCCATTGAGTTGATTTTGGACTGTGCCTGAAGTAATTTATCACATCCTCTCTGGACCCAAAATTTAACGAGACATGACCCAGACTTTACAATAATTCTATTTTGCCAATAATTTCTATCCTGTATCAAATATGAAATCTTGACAGATGACGTTCCATCTGTTACAAGGAAACCCGCTATTAGTTACAGTTTTACTGGTTTAGAGGGCTTATTGTACTTTAACTTATGTTCTGACTAAATTAGCTAACACTGTCTAGCTCAGTCTGTTACAAGCACTGGGCCAAATTCAGTCCTGGTGTAAATGGGAGCAATGATTAAATCAATGGAATCATACTCACTTGCACTGATTCTGAACTTGGGCCTCTGTCTACGAGGAAAAAATCAGATCTCATTTTTAAAAAAATGTTTTTTTTAAAATACTCTTATGGCTAGCAAGGTATTGCTGTGCTCTCCCACAATATTTATTGTTAGAGCCACGGGAACCAATTGTGTGTTGCCCTTCACCTACTGCAGTCATTAATACCACTGCAGAAAGGGCACAAAAAATGCTGTCATTCTGATTTGGCAGCACTTTATATTGGTGTAAATGACTATACAAGATGCAATGCAACAGATAATCAGGCCTACTAATAGACTTCACCACTACAATAAGGCCCCCTCTACACTTGGAAAATGAGTAGGCAGCCAGATTCTTCACTGCCTTACACAGTCTGATCTGACAGCATTCTACAGCTCCCTTTGCAGAGAGATGATTGATTAGGCAGTGGAGAAATCAAGCCACAGGAGTCTAGTATACTTTCTGAAATGGAGGTTTAAAATACAGTAAATAGTTAGTTCCCCCCCCCCAAAGCCCTGTGATGCTGTATGATTGATGATGACCATTTATATCATTGTTGCTACCAGTGTTATACAATTGCAAAAAATCTTATACAAAAAGTAGGTCATGTAAGATATCAATGGAAAAGTTGTAATCTGCTAAGTATGTTAAACCTACTTATATGCATGTTTCATCTTTGTATCTGAAGTAATGACTATTTGCTATTTGTATCTCAAACATGTGTTTTGTTCTGGGGTGACACCCACAAGGTAGTTTTACATCCTGTCTAGCCAGCCCAATGTTGAACCACCATTCAGGGAGATCAGCTCTTCAATGAGTCTTCCTGCAGCTGCCTCAGCCAGCAAGGAGCCAAGGCCCACCCCTGTGATTCAGCAAAAGATGTAAGATCATGTGATGTGGACATGTGACCTCAGACTCCATCTTCGTCAGTAATTTTCCATACAAAGGGGCTGTGGGTTTTGTTTGGGACAGTGAATTTCCATGTACATGGCAGAGGATATAAAAGACACCTGAGACATCTCTATTTTTGCCTCATTCCTGTACCAATTCTCTGGACTGTGGATTTACACCTAAAATGAGTATTTTGAACAATGGACTGAGGACCATCCAATCTTTTGGAAGCTGCCAAAGAGACTTTTGCAAGCCAGCAGTGTATTCCATCACTGCTACAAACATGATAAGGACTTTGCAATCATTTTTATGTATATTATCTATTAACCATTTATAACTATTCTTTTCTTAATAAATCTTCAGTTAGTTTACTAAGGATTGCCTGACAGTGTGATATTTGGGTAAGATCTGAGATACATATTGACATGGCAGGTAAGCATCTGATCCTTTGAGATGAGTAGACCCTCACATATGGTGAATTCGGTTTTCAGTAACCTCTCACTACATTAGACCTGTTTGTCTGGATAGGAGCCCAGGACCAGAATGCATAAAAGGGACTGTGTTAGGCTTCTTGTTAACCAGTGTGGTTACAGAAGCTCTTTTGCTACCAGTTTGGTGAATCTAATTATAGAATAAACCACCAGTTTGTGGGGATTTTCTGCCCTGTTTCTTGCAGTTTGCCCTGAGGTGGCACTCTCAGTGTAGTCCATCCCAATGACCAAGCTGTTTCAAATTTCGTTTGAGTAGAGGATAGGGCAGAGGAGTCTGATGATTGACATTTGTTATCATTCATATCACTCTTCTTGATTACACAAGGGCCAAGTGCTCAAATGACTTGTGTGCTTACATATCCTGTATTCTTCTGAACCACTGCTACCGCTGCAGCTTAACAAATAAAACTTGATTCCAATTACTTATAGCAAGACTGCAAAAACATCTGGTGAGCACAGATTTTTTTTTTTTTTTTTTTTTTAAACAGGTGTCCTCAGCAGTTCAATGAGAGATATTAAAAAGTCAAACAGCTCAATACTAATAATGCCTGACTTTCTGAAATGAGGGCAACTGTTCCTTCATGACACATAGGTAAGACAGCTAAATAATTCCATGCCCAGGAGACTTAATGAGTCAGTGGGTTATTTTTCCCCAACTGCATACCCTGAGATAACTGTGGTGCATTAATTTAAGCACTACAGATCAAGATGTTGAAAAGGAACATGAATTATAGGTTTATAAAACATATGGTATTTTAGTGAGCTGTGAGGACAAGCCAACAAAACAATTTAATGAGTACTCCCAAAAGCAGGAGAGATTTACAAGTTTTAGAAGATTCAGTTTCACTGGTTTTTCTATATTACTTTAGAATAAGATAAATGTCAGTAGAAATAAGTGGCTATTCAAAGAAAGCAAAGAGTAGAAAACAGAAGTGTAATGGAACCACTATCCTTTAAGGCTTTCAGAGAAAATTGTGCATCTGTTTGAAGGATATAGGGGGATTTTAAGTCAAGATGGGCTGAACCAGACAAATTCAGGCTATATATTTAACATAACAGATGAATTTTTTACAGTGGAATTGCTACAAATTCCTTTCTATTGGAGAACTTTCAATACTCACCCCTGTACAGACTAGCAGACTGCAATTATGAGAACTCTTCCTTAACCTGGGTAGAAATGTTCTGATATAGGTCAAATAATATCTGATGTTCACTGGGAAATCATCTCATTAAGGGAAGCTCCTGTAATATCAAACAGTACTTTCAAGTCTAAGCTGTGAACATCCATGTATCACAAACACATTGTGTTTTATATTACCTGGATTATATCTTGAACAGCCTTAATTATATTAGTAGTGTAATCTACTCTGTATTTAGCTGAGATTAATAAGAAGGCCAGAAAGTTGTATGGAGCACTGTGAAAGGGTGCAGAGGCACTTCTTTGTCCGTGGCAAATGAATTAACCAGGCTTACGAACAGGACTAGGTGGGAGAGGCTACTTAGAAGGCAGTACGATTAATTCGGGGCCACAATCCTGAGTTCCATGACCTGGGAAACACCGTTACAATCTGATGTTTTAAATGGTTGTGTATTGCCCAAAACATGAAATTTGCCCAGACACACACAAGTTATCAAATGATTAACCCAGTAGGTTTTTGCTGAATGACTTCACCAGCCTATAAACAGTTAAAGGGATAGTGAGAACAAAGGAAGTGATGTGGAGTAGTTTGTTATTTGCTTGTGTCTTCAATAAAACTGTTCGATGAACAATGTTTTAATAATCACAGGCCCTTTCATTGATTCAAAGTTACAAATATAAATGGTAGCTTTTGGATATGAAATTTATTTGTTTCACAGTAGGATGCCTGGGGAGCCTATACAGATACACTGGCAGGGAATCCATTTAAAAAAGGAAGAGCACTGAACCAAACAACAGGTATAAACGATTGATGTCAGCTAACTGTACTTACTGTAGGCTCCTCAGAACTAAGAAAGGCCTTTGGTGAGCCATGATAGCATCTCAGTGACAGTTTTCAACTGGCAATGTTCCAGTTTAATACACTGTAACAAATGTTTTTCCTGTCTCTTATTTATGTAATACAATTATCAATCAAAACAAATGTTGCTACATTTACCCCTATGGAATTCAAAACAGATTACACACCAAATGTTAGAAAATAGTGCAGATTTTTAGAGTAAGACTCTTCTGGCATACCAAGAACTAGATAATACAGTTTGAATCCATGTCAAGATCTGTTGTTATTTAGAACCAATGACCAAAATATTTCATATTTGCATGTAAAGTGAGAGTATGGACAACATGGTACTACCAACTTCATTATTGGACTAGCCCCAGGATAGGAGTATAGGGAGGACCGCTCTTTGCTCTGTTCACTAGTTTAATAAAATACAGAATGTGGTAACAGAAAACAACAAAAATGTAAGCGAGCAAAAACAAATCCACACTTGTATAACAGTTTGTTTACTGTTTATTGATATTGCCAACCAAGAACACTGTCTAGCAGTTAAACCAAAATAGCCATATTTGATTATTAGTACTTGTCCTGGGCCACAAGGTAGAGAAATTAAATTCATTCATGAAATGACCTTCAAATAGGACTACAAAATGAAGGCAAGCTAGACCTGGATTCTGCTGCAAGATCCCCTAGTTTCTATAGCATTCTGGTATGGCAAACGCAAATTTCTGCTGCAGATTAACAAATTTAAAAATTGAGATTTCTATTGTATTAGATATGAAGAGTAATACAATCAGTACAGAGGTCCTCATTTCATAGAACATTCATTTGTTTTACAGAGTGGTCACATTTTCAATATGCTGCATATTTTTGTATTCACGAAGGGGACTGATGATTAGCAAAAGACAGTTTGAATTCTTGGCACCCAGGAGGGAGGCGGGTCCTCTTTCCCTCCCATTATGAGGGAACTGACTTTAAATTCAAAAGAAAGAGGGAGGGGATTGAACTCCTCATTGCCCTCCCTTTCAATAGCAAGGAATCAGCACATTATCTGGCTATTTCTGCTAAAATGAGATCAGTAGTAAAATAATGAATGATGACACTGGGCTTCAGAGTCATCCTCCCATTGGGATAATTTGGGCAATTACATCTCTCAGGATATTGTTTGAGGCAGATTCAGGAACACAACGCTGCACCTGTTTACATTCAATTCACATCAGGGAGGCTCTTAGCAACCATAAGGGCCAGAAAGTTAATGATTTTAAAACCAAAGTTTGGATTCTAAAGCACACTTCTGTGGCAGATGGTGAATAGCAACATATTTTGTGGCTACAGAACACACAGAGCCCTACTTACACATATATGTCGCTCCACTTTAAAAGACAGGCTGAAAGCCACATTCTGCACTAGCTAAAGCTTCCCTGTAGTATTCAAGGGAAGCAATAAGTACAGCATTGTACAATATTCCAACCTGGATAGGACAGAACAGATATCAGTGACAAGACCAATGCAGAAATGAAAAAGATGCAATTTCCAGGTCAGCCAAATGGGGGGGTTGGGGCGGGGGGGAAGGAGGGGAAAGAGTACTTAGAAGCTTAAATCTGACTCTCTGCTTTTCATTACATAATAAAGCATTTTCATTTAAGGCATCCTCCCTGTCTAATTTAGACTTGCTATTACTATAGAATATCTGTGATCAACTCTATGTTTTGTAAAACATACTAAATGAACCATATAAGCAAGGGTGTAATTAGAACAGCCACAATATAAGTGGAAAGAAACTTTATTACATGACTTATCATATAAGGAGTACCATCTTTCCCAAAGCACCACTGCTGTTAATGAGGTGTTCATGAGCCTTAGCAACTTTTTCCAATGGATATTCAGGGCCAACTACAGGTTTAAGCCAGCCAGCTTCTATACCAGCAAGAAGCGCGGTTTCACATTCATGCATCAACTTCTGTATAGTGAAGATAGTATTTACTGTAAGTCATGTGCACTTTTAAAGTATATTACATGTTTATACAAAGTTTTAATCCAAATTTCACAATTAAAATGCATTTTATTACATTTCTGAGATTTATCTATTCTTCTACGTGTTCATTTAGAAAAATAAAATTTATATAATCTAATAAAATTGTACCCTTACACCTCAAATCAAACCCAACTATGCTATTTTGCTAAACATTTAATTTGCTTAAACTAAAAGTTTATAAGTTATTAGAATATCTCCTCTAAGTAAATTCTTTGAACTAAAAATGCCTTACCTTAGTTGCACAAAATAGACTAACCCCTATTATGCTGGATTCTTTCATCATAGTGTCCCTGGGGTTTATTTCAATTGGACCTCTACTCCCCACGATCTGATACAAAAAAGTTTTAAAATTTAAAAAAAAGAGAGACACTTAATCCAAACATTTTTCAATGAATTATAAACTTAATTTGAAGGCAATGACAGCGAAAATACTTACCATCACCCTTCCTCCAGGTGACAGTAGTTGTAAGTCAGTGGCGAGATTAACATTAGCTAGCATTTCTATTATCACATCAACTCCCCGCACATCACTGAATTCCTACACAGAATATAAAGAGAGATAACCAACTGAGAAAAATTCACATTTGGGTGTCTGTGTATATTTCACAGGCTGTAGGTAACCTGGGGTTTCTACATGTTAAGTCTGACATATCTAATGCAATTCTGAAAGTCGATCTTCATCATATTGTGACTTGCTGGGATCTGAGTTTCTAAATGCTCCCTCCCTTCATGAGATAGTAAAGCAAATAGGAAACACAGCTAATACAAGTACTATAGTACAATCTCTTTATCATGTAAGTTGAACTTACAAATGTAGAATTATGTACCAAAAAAAGCTGCTTTCAAAAATTAAACAATGTAAAATTTTAGAACCTGCAAGTCCACTCAGTCCTACTTCAGCCAATCGCTCAGACAAACAAGTTTGGTTATAATTTGCAGGAGATAATGCTGCCCACTTCTGGTTTACGTCACCTGAAAGTGAGAACAGGCATTCACATGGCACTGTTGTAGCCAGCGCCGCAAGATATTTACGTGCCAGATGCGCTAAAGATTCATATGTCCCTTCATGCTTTAACCACCATTTCAGAGGACATGCGTCCATGCTGATGATGGGTTCTGCTCGATAATGATCCAAAACAGAGCGGACCAACGCATGTTCATTTTCATCATCTGAGTCAGATGCCACCAGCAGAAGGTTGGTTTTTCTTTTTCGGTGGTTCGGGTTCTGTAGTTTCTGTATCTGAGTGCTGCTCTTTTAAGTCTTCTGAAAGCATGCTCCACAACTCATCCTCCTCAGATTTTAGAAGGCACTTCAGATTCTTAAACCTTTCGGTTGAGTGTTGTAGCTATTTTTAGAAATCTCACATTGGTACCTTCTTTGCGCTTTGTTAAATCTGCTACGAAAGTGTTCTTAAAACAAACATGTCCTGGGTCATCATCCGAGACTGCTATGACGTGAAATATATGGCATAATGCAGGTAAAACAACAGGAGACATACAATTCTCCCCCAAGGAGTTCAGTCACAAATGTAATTAATACTTTTCTTTTTTTTTTTTTTTACAGAGCATCAGCAGCATGGAAGCATGTCCTCTGGAATGGTAGCGGAAGAATGAAGGGGCATACGAATGTTTAGCATATCTGACAGAACTACAAAAGTGCCATGTGACGCCTGTTCTCACTTTCAGGTGACATTGTAAACAAGAAGCGAGCAGCATTATCTCCTGCAAATTTTAACCAAACTTGTTTGTCTGAGCGATTGGCTGAACAAGTAGGAGGATTGAGTGGACTTGTAGGCTCTAAAGTTTTACATTGTTTTATTTTTGAATGCAGTTTTTTCTTGGTACATAATTCTACATTTTTAAGTTCAACTTTCATGATAAAGAGATTGCACTACAGTACTTAGGTGAATTGAAAAATACTATTTCTTTTGTTTCTATTTCAGTGCAAATATTTGTAATCAAAAATAAATATAAAGTGAGTACTATACACTTTGTATTCTGTGTTGTCATTGAAATCAATATATTTGAAAATGTAGAAAACATCCAAAAATATTTAATAAATTTCAATTGGTATTCTATTGTTTAACAGTGCGGTTAATTGCGATTAATTTTTTTGAGTTAATTGCATGCGCTAACTGCAATTAATTGACAGCCCTAGTTATGATTAAAGCTAAGATTTAGTCATGGGTATTTTTGGTAAAAGTCATGGACAGGTCACGGGCAATAAATAAAAATTCACAGCCCATGACCTGTCCATGACTTTTACCAAAAATACCCCTGACTAAAACTCTACTTCTGGGGCCCCACTGGTCTGGGGGCCCCTGCTGGGAGGGAGGGGGCAGCCTGCTCCAGTGCTGGGGGTTGACTGCCACCCCGGGACCGCTGCTCGGGCAGTCCCCAGGGCACCCCCAGGACCACTACTTGGGCAGTCCCTGGAGCCAACCACACCGGCTGTTGTTCCGGCAGTCCCCATAGTCAGCTGTCTGGGCCGCCCGAGCAGAGGCCAGTGTGGCTGGCTTCGGGGCGATCCCTGGGACCACTGCTCGGTCGCTCTCTGGGGCCTCCCTCAGGACTGCTGCTCGGGTGGTCCGCAGGACCGCCGGAGAGCTGGCCCCAGGTCGCTCCAGCAGCAGCTGGTGCGGCTGGACACTGGGCGCCCGAGCAGTGGGAAGTCACGGAGGTCGCAGAAAGTCACAGAATCCATGACCTCCGTGACAGAATCACAGTCTTAGTTATGATTTAATATTCTTGGTATCCATATCTTTAAAATTAACAATTCTCCTTTGAGCAGAAATTAAAAGGTTGTGTAGATTTTGCTCAAATGGCAGACCCCTACAGAACCCTAATCTTGGTTCAAAAGAAAAATATAAAGAGCTGTTTACCGAATGTTTCATTTCATAAAAGTTACAAATAGAAAATATCTATCTAGTTCATCTGGCTGTCATCACAGGATTGCCATCTATAGTACATTTTCTAGTCAATTAAAAGGAAGATAATTGATAGAAACCAAAATGGATTTTGAATATTTTAATGGAAGGAGAAAGAGGGTGAAAGATCTATGAAACTTTCAATCTGGTAGTAAATTACCTTAATCTTATCAACGTAATCAGCTTCTCTGTGATTAAACATTTTGTGGGCTCCATTTCTCAAAACTATGTTCATTCCTTCTTCAGTTCCAGCTGTGCCTAAAACCTTTAAACCATAAGCTCTGGCAATCTGGCATGCTGCTATTCCAACCTGGAAAAATGAATTACATTTCCCTTTACCATTTATTTTCCCACTCTTAATATAAATATCACCTATCAGTGACTCAGTACTTTACATGTCAGATTATGCATAAAAACATATTTTAAGTTAACAAATCACTAGCATAACTGAAACAGTATTTTGATTTACATTCACACACACACACCCCACATTGTATACTAGTAAAGGTGCTGCACACACAATATACCTGACACAAAACCAAGGAAGTGAAAAGTTAAGCCATGTAACAGTATATATGATCTTTTCTTCCCACAGACAGACACTACTAACATGATCACCATATACCACAGATAATGTATCACAACCTTGACTCTTAACTGCAGAATAAGTCCATTTAGCATCTCATTCCCCAGACTCCCAACATTACGCAACAGACGAGACTCCCTAGTCTCACTGCCCCTTCTGCTGAGTCCTGAGAAACCACACTCTAGTTTCAGAAAGCCAAAGGAAGCCCTGCAAAGCGTAGTTGCCAGATATTGTGAGGACCCCAGAGAAAACTCCCAAGCAGGGAAGCCTCAGAGGGTAGCAGATTTTGGAGGGGGAAGTAAGCACATGAGCCTCCATTCTTAGGCAGCAAGTAAAACCACTGGAAGCCTGGTCAGACACTGATCCTGCCAAATAAACATCTGCATTCCCTACCACCACATCCTCTCATCCCTGCTTTATATTTCAGTTGGTGGTGAGAGGTGTTTTATTAGTGCCAAGCAGATGTAAAGTCTTCTTAGTGCCGGAGGACAAGCAGGCTTCAAGTCCATGAGGCACATCACAGTCTCAGCTGGCTCACACTGACTGCTTACATGGTGTGCAGAATGCAAAAGAGAAACGAAGAACAAGCATTCACAAAACTCTGCCTCTCTTTTGGGGTTACTCTCAACCTGGTTCCTCCTGCAAAGGCAGGTTCTGCAACTTATCCTGACCAGCCCTGGAGACAGACACTTCCTCGGCTAATTTAAGTGCTGTTATTCTCTTCTACTGGTAGCAAACTGCCTCATTCCATTTCTGTTACCAACAGAATTCCATCTGCTGTCATTTATGGCTTTGCTAATGAAACTTGCACCCAGGAGTGTTATGTAAAGTAAACAAACTGCCTTCCCCATAAGAAATCCTCATGACCATCACTCTTGCCAGGGGCTTATCAACTGACCTATTTGAAAAACCGAAGTCACCTTTGACATTTACATTTCAAACTAACACACGGCATGACTAGATTATCTCAACATCCAAAAGTTGTTCAATGAACAACCTGAAAAGAATGCAAGATTTAAGGATCATTGTAGAAGCGTATGTCAATGAAAGACGTACCACAAACATCCACGCTTATCAATATAGTATGTGTCTCTTTGCCTACTCTCTTCTCACTGCACTTGCAAATGTTTTTGTAACAGTCTGCAAATCTATAGAAGATAATCTTATTTGTGGACCATGTCATTGTAAAGCAAAAACATGTGTGTGTTCCCAGAAGCATATAAAAGAAGTGGAAACAGAAAATCAAAACTCAATTTATGAAAATAAAGAAAAAACATATTGCTGAATGTCCTTCTAGTCTAGTATATTACAAGAGATCTGAGTTTTCTCTCATGTGAGACTTTCATAATCAGCCTTTTGCAGCCAACCGAGTAACTCAACAAAACTTGGCCAGCTCGCAACAGTTTTTCCAGCCGCTGGAAAGGGGAAATAGAGGCCACTTAAAGTTTAACTATTCCCTCTTACTCTACCTCAGCCTTCTTGTTTATTCAGCAGAGCCAAAGGTTAGCCTTTTGTAAATACAGAAGCTAGTTGGGAAAACTTAAAGTCCATTCAGGTATGAGATTATCTCCTCCAACATCTCCCATTTTCTAGCTAGGTTACAGTTAATGGGTGAGAAACAGCACAGAAAGTCCCCATCCAGCCAGTGAGCATTTCTTGCACAACTAAGGATAGTTTGCCTAATTTTTCAAAACACAACTTTTCCTTTAACTTTTCTCTGAGGCAGACTAGCTGTATGGCTCCTGACCCAGCTTCTGACCGTTCTCCACTTTGTGATTACACCATGGGATGCCCTACATATGATCTAATTAAGTTCATATGACATCAGCATTTGGGGCCATATGTGGTAATTTGTGCAGTTTCAGGCTGCTATATTTTGGATGATAGGATTTAACTTTAAGTGTAAAGAGCCTTCATGACAGAGAATCATTTGCCTTAGAACCAATCACAAAAATAGATACACAAAATACTTGCTAACTTAAGTCTTTTCAAAATACTTACTCCTCCACTTGCCCCATGGACTAGCACAGTTTCCCCTGGTTTGGCATGCCCTCTAGAAGACAAAATGACAGGTATTGAACTATTTAATACATTGTAACTTGAGCAGATTCTATGCATTGTCTAGCCATAAGATGTAGTTGGGTTATATGAATTAAATATATATCTTTTTAGATCACATTCAATGCGCCTAATTTTCCTCTCTTTAGTTTTACACTGAGTTAGTCCTGATTCATTCTGGGATTAGAGAAGAGAATCGGTTCTTATATCTTAATAATTCTAAAAGCTCTCATTCCTGAATGTAAATATAGATATAAGCTACAACAATGGGAGTACCAATTTCATGGTTGGTATAGGTGTGTATTAACACCAGCCTAATATTCAAAACAACATTTTCTTCAACTTTAGTCTTCCAGGTTTTAAAATAATCTACCCATACTTTTTCAAAGGATAAACTAGATTGCCCAATGCTTTGTTCTATGCATTTATCTAGACTGGATTCCCAGTCCTGATCTCTTATCCCCTAGCTGACAAGGCACTCTTGTCTATCACTATAGTACAGATTTATGAATCAATACCATGGTGATTGGTAGGGTTAAATACTTAGATAGATGAGCTAGTAGGAGTTCTGCCAACAGCTCCTGAAGACAGAGGTGATGGAAAGATAGGTTACGCAACTGCAACCCCTTGGTTCAATCAAGAAGCAGAAATTATGACTGAAACAAGTCCTATCTAGTCCTTCTTAAGGACAGTGGTGAGGTAAAGAGGGGTAGAAGGAGGAAAACAATTAACTCATTTCTTTCAGTGTATACACTTTTTTATTATATAGAGTGCCCATCCCAGTTCTGGGTGCCCCAGATGCACTCTTAAAAATACATTCTTAAAAAGAAAAAGACGGTCAATTACCTCCAGATCACAACCCTCTGACAATAATGTAGGCAACACATTTAATTTAACCCTCCAACAGAATCCCCACCAAAGTCCTCCTCCCATCACTACCCTACCTAAGAAGTCTCCCATCTCTTTATGAAAGAGAGAGATAAAATAGGCCTTGCAGTGTGCCCTGAAAAGGTAAGCCATGTAACTGGCTATTATGGATGGCGTGTCTACTCTATAGTTTGTATTTTAAGTCTTCAAAAGCAGAAGATACAAACAGAGCATGGCATCTTACTTTTGGAAGAGTGCACGGTAAGCAGTGAAATATGGGATTCCAATGGCAGCACCTTGCTTGAAGTCTAATTTATCTGACAAGGGGAAGACTGTGTCAGCTGCAGCAACTGTATAATCTGCATAGCCACCAGAGATGGTACCATTAGTAAAAACCCTGTCACCTTTCTGGCAAGAAAAAATAAAAAAAGATTTAGACACAAGTTCCAAGTACTTTAGTCAAAGTTTGTTACGTAACACTTCTGTAAAAGTTTTATATATAATTATCTTCCCGAAAGGATTTTATAAAAATCAAGGAAGTGAAATCTCTGCAACACAATTTTGTATATCCAGATTTCAAAAGGTGTGTGTGTGTGCAGATTACATCCTAGGTTCTATATCATCACACACAAAGCTACTGCATGATTAAGGTGATCCTTAATGAACCTGAATTCATCCAGCTGGACTCCACAAGGAAAATGTCAGAAACATTTTAAGCAGTTTTTGAAGCCTGAGAAGTATACATTCTTAACAGGAATAGTTATTGGTAATAGTTATCGTTAGGAGTCCTTCAACAGGATAAAATCACAACCTCCACACAAATCACCAAGTGGGCTGTGTGAGAAACAGGGAATAATACACATCCCAACACACAGGGTGTTTTAACACTTATTTCCAGCCCTGCCAGCTACCGAGTATCAACTACTTTGGTACTGGTTGTGAGCTGCATATAGCACATCCCAGTTCTTAGAACATGGTAATTTCATGTTTTGTACAATTTTTCCTCAGTTCCGTACATTCTGACCACTTGTGGGTGTCTGACTTTCAAAATCATCGTATGATTATCTTAGTACCTGCATAGCATGTAAATCCCTGCGCTTTGATTTGCTGACACCTATTATTAGCCAGAGTGCCAAGATCTGCATAATTGCTATGTGGCTATTTCTTACGTACCATCAATATGCAAATCTCTCTATTCTGATTGGCTCCTCTATTCAGCCATTTCAAGCTGTTTGTCTGCAACTATTGCTCTCATCTTCTTTCCCTTCAGTTTAAGCAGAAAATGCCAAAATTTACATGAAAAACTAAAAGCAAAGAAAATGGAGCTGTCAATCTGTTGAAACAAAAAGTGTTTTGTTTATTTTTGAAGTTAACACCTCTGCCTTATTTTCCATCTCCAGGCCAGCACGGCTCTTGTCTCCTCAATAACTGTCATATATGACTTCAGAATAGGAGAATCCCAACTCTCTACCCCAATACAGTTTTTAAACAATACATATTCTACTGTTAGTCTTTGGTCAAGAATCTTACTCACCTGTAAGGAAATAAAAGAGAAGGCCAATTAAAAAACCCCACACACATTTATCTTTTAACAGCCCACTTTTTCCCCCTCGCCAAGATATGGTTTAACCAAAGGGCAGCAGGCGAAATATAACCATGAGACAGCAGTTGAGTATTTAAACATTGTTATCAATAGATACACCTTTCATTTTTTTCCCCTTCGTTTTAAGTCTGAATATTAAAAATATCAGCAAAATAATCTCAGGGTCCTTCCTGTCAGTCCAGGACGATGATGACAATAATTACAGCAATCTTGACATTTATAATACACCTACAATGCTTCAAAAATGTTTCTGGACCAAGACTGCGTAAACAAAACCCCAATCCTGCAAGCAGCACCATGCAGTCAGGCTCCTGCACCGGCGCTGAACTCCACAGATCTCTATGGGGCTCTGTATGGGTGTAAGGGACAGCCCTGCAGAGCCACTTGTAGGAATAGGCCCACTAATTTGACCCGGATGCATGCATTTCATGGCCAATTAGAGGTCCCCAAAACCCAGAGGAAATTCTGACAGGCCATAAATTATAGAGGTAGCAGTAAGTACTGCAACAATAATGTAGGGAAAGCATAAGCAATCAATTAAAAAAGGAACAGAATATAATACCTTGAATACAGTTACATGCTCCCCAACAGCTTCAATTACTCCAGCAACATCTGTGCCAGGAGTGTAAGGTAAAGCTGGTTTTCTAGCATGAGCACCAGAACGAATATACGTCTCCACTGGGTTTACACCACATGCATGGACTTTGATTAAGACCTGAAGAGAAAATGTTATTTGTTACATATCATTACAATCACCATAATTTTGCATCAACAGCTTAGTATTATTAAAGCAATTGACTTGACTATTAAAGAGCCCTTAGTATGGATGTGAAACAATTTTGGAAAGTCTTTTGTATTCAATATGTAGACTGTGTTAGAATAACAAAACTAATTAGTTAAATCTGATGCCTGTGGCTTTATTTATGTATATGCTGCTCAACCTACTCATATTCAGAATTAAGATGGTTCTGCTTTGGACACTCACTCAATTCATACTCAAGTCATTACCATTCAATGCAATTATCTTAGTTTACAGCTATCATTTCCACCTGATTTTCTTTCGGATTCGGCAATAAGACATCTGACAGGAGCTTAAGCACTTCAGGTCCACCAAATTCAGAAACTCTGACAGCTCTCATCACATTTCTTCCAGTTGCCATAGTGATCTGAATATCAGAAGATGAGAAAATATTGCATTAACTTCACAATCCAGTTTTCACTTCAGAGGGAAGGGATCAAACTCCCTACATTTAGACAACAGTTTATATCAGGGGCTCACTACTGATTTCTTTTCATAGAAAAGATGGTCTTTCATCTTACAAATCTTGCAAACGAAGAGCGTTACCACCATCTCCCATGGGAATGTGTGGGCTTTAAAGTGAATCAAACATGTAAATAACTACATTAAAAATATGAGTGCAGTAGTTCCTGTATTAGATATCATGCCATAACATCTTGAGCAGGGTTTCTCAAAAAGGGGTCGCCGCTTGTGTAGGGAAAGCCCCTGGCGGGCCAGGCCGGT